AACCATACTCGGCCAGGCCAGAATGGGGCTACTAGCAGCAACCAGACCCCGTCCCGGAGCACTCTCTCCATAACTCCCGGGAGCAGAGCGATCGGGGGAAAGGCGTACAGACGAAGCCTCAGCCACGTCTGTACCATGGCATCCAGCCCCAGTAGAGCTGGATGATTCAGAGAGAACCAGAGGGGACAGTGAGATGTCTCTCGAGTCACAAACAGGTCCACCTGAGCCTGGCCAAATATACTCCATATATGCTTGACCACCTCGGTGTGAAGCCTCCATTCCCCCGGCCTCGGCCCCTGCCTGAACAGGATGTCTGCTCCCATATTGAGATGCCCAGGAATACGAACTTCTCTCAGCGAGAGGAGTTTGCCCTGGGACCACACAAGGATCTGGTGCGCCAGCCTGTACAGAGGGCGCGAACGCAGACCTCCTTGGTGGTTGATGTAAGAGACCACCACTGTGTTGTCGGTACGCACCAACACATGGCGATCTCTTAGATCCGGGAGGAAGTGTCTCAATGCTAGAAACATGGCCAGCATCTCCAGGCAGTTGATGTGCCATGTGAGATCGCGACCACTCCACAGACCACGGGCCGAGCGGCCACTCATGACCGCTGCCCAACCAGTGAGGGACACGTCGGTCGCTAGCGTTATGCGTCGACCAGGAGCTCCCAGCACCGGGCCCTGAGACAAAAACCAAGGTTTCCTGAGCACACACACGCATAGAGCGGGATAATACGCAGAGCGTCACACCACGTGAAAGTGAAACCTGAGCGGTGAACTAATTTTCGGCAGCCGAAATTTCGGTGCATCTCTAATTATTGGTGACATCAGAAATGGATATTATATAATAGATGCTTTTTTGAACATTTTAGCAATTTAAAAATATTAAAAAAGGATTTTTTACACAGCACCCCTGCTCTCGACAGACGGCACCCCGGTTGGGAAACACTGGTCTAAGGCATGTAGGCAACGCCGCGTGACCTTGAGCATGCTAAGCGGGTTTCCCCTCTGGGAGAACCCCTTGGTCTTGAGCCACCACTGTAGGGGTCTCATGTACAGCAGGCCAAAAGGTATCACGTTGGACGCAGCTGCCATCAGACCCAGCAGTCTCTGAAACTGCTTGACAGTGAGTGACCGGCCTTCTCTCACTCTCGCGACTGCAGTGAGGATTGATTCGATCCGAGCAGGGGACAGACGTGCCTGCATCGTGGTCGAATCCCACACCACACCCAGATAAGTGGTCCTCTGTAATGGAGAAAGCACACTTTTCTTGGCGTTTAGTCTTAACCCCAGCTCTTTCATGTGGGCGAGAACGACATCTCGATGCCGAACCGTCACCTGCTCCGATTGAGCTAGTATCAACCAATCGTCGATATAATTCAGTATGTGGATGCCCTTGAGTCGCAGCATAGCCAGAGCAGCATCCACACACTTCGTGAAAGTGCGGGGTGAGAGTGCAAGGCCGAAAGGAAGAACCCGGTATTGGTAAGCTTTGCTCCCAAAAGCAAATGTCAGGAACTTCCTGTGATGAGGAAGGATGGAGATATGGAAGTATGCATCTTTTAGATCCATCATGACAAACCAGTCCTTGAACTGAACTATGAAGTACCGGCTGTAGAACCTGGACTCTCTTTCGTGAGGAGGGACCACCTTGATGGCCTCTTTCCTCAAGAGAGTGTCTACTTCTTGCTCCATTACCAGAGCCTGCTCGGGACCCACCAGAGTGAGGAGAACCAAACTGGATTCTGTAGCCTCTCTCTACAGTGTGCAGGACCCACCGAGACACATTTGGCAGTAGTTTCTACGCTGCCAAATAGTCTAAGGGAATCAGTTTCTCGAGACTGACCTCTGGTGTAATCGAAGCGGCAGCCCGGCAGGGGACAGCCGAACTAGCTGTTCCAGAAACCTCTGTAGAGGTAGCGAGTCTCTTAGTACCGCTACGTTTCCAGGCGGTGACTGAGAGAAGTGCTCGCGGGAGATTGCTGCGCCCTGAAGTAGCAGGGTTGGCAGAATGATCTCCTGAGGAAAGATAGGCACCGTGTAATTCGGTGTACACCTCTCTTCCCCAGAAGGGCCTGCCCTCAGAAGTCCTGAGCCACAAACGTCAGGACTTCTTAGCCGAGGACTTCTTAGCCTGAAGGATGGTCCACAGATCCGGCTTAGGCTTAGAAGCCCCCGACCCAGAGCGTTGCTTAGACTCCCGGTCCCGACACGGGGGAGCACGGGAGGCGACCCTCTGTTTTTGAGCCTCTCTGTACGAGGAGCTGGTACGTGGAGGGGGTTGCTCCCGCCGACAGCCCCCAGAGCCAGAGAGCGGCGAGGGAGGAACCGCTGAAACGCTGCCGCTTGTTTACAAGTCTCCTGGTACCTGTCAACAACGGAGTTGACGGCGTCGCCGAACAGGCCAGAAGGCGCAAGCAGGGCGTCGAAGGAGGAAGACCCTGTCCTTTTCTTTCATGTTGGACAGGGTCAACCACAGATGCCTCTCTGCTGCCACCATAGCTGCCATAGCCTGACCAATAGAACGGGTGGTCTCCTTGGTGGCGCAGAGAGAGAGATCAGCGGTTCTTCTGAGCTCTGTTATTTTCTCAGAATTAATCTCCTTGCCCTCATCCAGCTCTTTAAGCAGGTCTGCCTGGTACGCCAGTAACATAGCCATTGTGTGCAGACACACAACAGCCTAACCCGCTGCCGCGCACCCTTTGCCCACCAGTGCTGACGTTGTATGCAGCGGCTTGGAGGGCAACGCTGGAGCCTTTAAGGACGATGCCGCGCCAGGGGACAGATAGCTCGCTAGCGTCTGTTCAACCCGGGGCATCTCCCTATAACCGCACTCACTCAACCTCGCCACATTGCCATAATAGTCTGAAGCGGGGATGAAGAGGCAGGCTGAGAATGGCCTGGCCCACGACTTCAATACCTCGGTGTGGAGGTCGGGGAAAAAAGGCAGGCTCCGTCATGGAGGTGGCAGCCTCGACCGCAGAAAGCGTTCGTCCAACTTGCTTCTCTGTGGCTCAGCCTGTTTCTCGGCAGCCCAATCAATGTTTAACTTGGCCACGGCACGAGTAACCACCTCCAGTAGCTCATCATACTGGGGCGATTGAGGGGGCGAATCCTCATCGACGCCCTCCACGTCAACCTCCTCGGAGGAAGACAGGCTGAGCGTCGAGCCCTCTCCCTGGGGAGAAGTAACCGCAGAGCGGGCTTCTGATCCCAGAAAGAGGGCACTGGATCTGGCGGGTGAAGATAGGGACTCGCCCGTCTCCATTCCCTCCACCAGATCCATCTGCAAACCCCACGAGTGCAACCGCCGCTCCGCCTCTGCAGAAGCGGGTCCAGCACCACTAGGAATGCTGACGAAGGCTCCCTCCTCGACGAGAGCCTTCTGGGAGCGAAGCGTACGCAGCGGCAGACGCTCGCAATGCGGGCAGCCGGCTCCCTAGAGAACAGACTCTGTGTGCTCGCTCCCAAACAGACCACGCACAGACTGTGTGCCTCCCCACCCATAATATAACGCGGGCAGGGAGGAACACACAGCCTATAGTTTGCTCTCGCCCTTCAAATGCTTAGTCTTAGCCTCAGCTTAAGACATAGTGGAGCTATTTAGTTTGGACAAACAACACTAAATAAGACTCACAGACACTCACAGAGTTGACTGACACACACACAGAGTGCTTGCTGTTGGACAGAAAGCTGACGCCGTTTCCACCGCACGTGCTTTTAAGCTTCCTGGTTACGTCACCCTGCCCGTGACGTCTCGCCCATCTATTTGACTGATTACACACGTGATTCAGAGCGTGGTCACGCTGAAGGCGTTCCCATAGCGTTTCGACGCAGCAGTTTCTGTGTACGAAGGTAGGTATAATTTAATTTCAGCCAAAAATGTTCCATAAGCCAACTGAAATGGCAAACAGAGTCATAATATAAGTTTAATGCAGCAAAGAATTAAAAAGAGACATACAGTATAAAAAGAAACTACTGGAATACTAAACACAGGTTCAGAGATGCAAACAGGTAAGGGGGGAAAAAGGTGAGAACATTGCGCAGATCGGGGGCATGCTCCACACGGAATTTCTATTAAAGATATTTGGTTCACATGCTCATTTGTAGTTACTTTAAGGTATTTAAAAAATATATATATTTTTTTATTACCTTACATGTCCAAAACTAATTTTTCACAAAAAAAAAACAACAACAACATTAAACATCTTGTTGCAACATTTTACAAAAAACAAGACTAAATATATTTGGTCAAAATCCCATGTTATAAAAGATGTAGTGCTATGCAGGCTATTTAAGCCAATATTGGCTGATTAGATGACAATGCTGACAAAAAAATTCTAAATATTTGCCCTCTCTTCTCTTCACCGTTCCCACATCTCAGGCCTATATAAAATATCACCCTTTTTAGACATGGTTTTTTAAAGTGAAAAATAAAGAAAATACTATACAAAACTTATTGAAACAACCAGTTATTTATTTACTCTTGTAAGATCACAAGTACCCTTGTAAGACCGCCGCCCCGCCGCCCCCCCATAAAAACACTTTCTCATTGGATCTAAGAAAATCTCTAGGTGACCAATTTTGATCTCAAAAAGGTAAGTTACAAATAAATTATGTGGTGTACTACAATATTATTAATTGAAAATGTGATAGCAAGTCCTCCTTCCAACTTTTTGAAACGATGTGATGGCCAGTGCAGCAAAAACAAAATGAAATTCACTTTTCACATTGTAAAACACAGCAGTGTAAAATATTATTAGACACTTTTGGTTGCAAAATACTGATATTGATAATGTGACAAATGAAATACTGAAATATTTCTTACTGAAAACTTTCTTTTAAATGATTCTGCATCTGCGGTCCAAGACAACAGTTCAATTGGTCAGTGAAATCTACATCTTTGTCATCCTGTTTGTAACTTTTTAAATATAATGCAGCTCAAAAGTGTAAAACTAAGTCAAGCCACTGAATGTTTTAAATGCATTCTAGTCTCACCTCCTGGTTGGGGACACTGAGGTAGCCGCGGTGGGGTTTGAAGGCTTTGTGTGGCGGGCGAGAGAACATCCAGTTTCTACTGAAGCTCTGGCCGAATACAGGCTGCAGCAGGAAGTAGGGTTTCTCTGAGTAATTAATCACCAACAAAAACAGAGACACCGCCACAATCAGACTGGTCACTATGACTGACTTCTTCTGTGAGGAGAGAAAGAAGAACAGAAAACATGGCATCGTTTAGCTTTTCTGACTCATGGTTAAAATGTGGCAATGAAACATACAGGAAAAATAGTCACTTTCACAGTCAAAAAGTGCTTGTTTTTTTTTTGGACAAATGGTTAGTGAAAGGAGGTACTGTAACCTTCAAAAACCCTCAGGAGTTCAAAAGAAATATTATATTAGCTGTTTTTATTTCTACCTATTTTATAGAAGGTTTGCCATTTTTGCAAAAACACGACAAACATGAAAATTATTAAGTGGTACCGTGCCAACCTGCTGTGGTGCAACATTTTCTACACTCAATAATAAACAAACCTCAAAACTGTCCTTTTAATCAAAAAATCCTAGAGAAGGTTGTTTATCATCAGCTCTCCCCCTTTTTAAATAGAAATGGCATTTTTGATAAATTGCAATCTGGGTTTTGAGCACATCTCAGCACAGAGTCAGCCCTCCTTAAAGTGTCTAACAACCTGTTGCTACTCCATCTTGATCTTAGTGCTGCATTCAACAACCTAGTTTGTGAAATTTTGCTGGAGCATTTAAGACGGTGGGCAGAGATTCAAAGGACTTTCCTTGAATGAAATACACTCTCTGTAGAATTAGGAAATATTTCCTGTATTACTTGGGGGCTTCCACAACAAGGCTATATATTGGGCCCAATTTTATTTCCATTATATATGCTTCCATTGGCTCAAATGAGTCAATATGTACAATATATCCTGCCAACTTTGAGATTATGATAAGAAAAGAATGTATTTAAAGCAACCTACTTTTCATGCTCAGTTATTTTTATGTTAGATAATACTTTAAACAACCATATAACAAAAACATACTGAAATAATAAGGGTATGATTTTGCAAAATCAATAATATCTTAATAGAACAAAGCTCTTATTTCTCAGCACTAGGGTTGTGACGGTGAGGAAATTTTCCCACCGGTTAATCGACGTGTGACAACACCAGTAATACCGGTATCACCGTGGGGGCAGGGGCGTTCCCTCTTTTCCTCCGTTTTTAGTTCGTTTGAATTTTCCCTCTTTTCCTCGCTTTCCGTCGCTTTTAAATATCTTAAAAGCACCGTTCGCATTTTACTTTCACTTTTGAATTAGTGGTCGGTGCCGCGGTGGGCAAGTGACATAACCGGTGTTGCGGCTTAACACCGGTATCACCGTCAGCACCGTCTATCGCGGCAAGCCTACTCAGCACATGTCCTAATGGTCTAAGCAGTCCAAAAACCCAACCCTTGGAAACAGAAGTCAGAAGTATAGCAGAAGTCATTCTGTATTCCTTAAAGAGGATTGAACTTGACAGAAACTGAAGCTCGTTTCTCTGTTTTGTACTTGACTGATCGCAGAGGACAATTCAAGCTGATAAATTGTTCATTTTTTTTCCATTAAAACTGAATCTTCTCCTTCTTCGCAGTTATCTGATGTGACACATTTTCCACTGAGTATTCGAAAAAAGTCAGAAAGCTCTTAAAATTTGACTTCTAACATTCTCCGTTCTCTTTTCACAATTAAATACGGAGAACTGTCAAAGCTATCTCTGCATAATGATGTGCCCATGATGCATACGGTTGTTTGAAATGTTCAAAACTCTGAGAAAAATTACTTGAAACATGCAATGTAACAATGCATACAGCTTATGGACAAGTACTTAGAATATTATGGACATTCTATATGAGACATGAAATATTATGTAATATAAAAAAGATCTGAGCCATTTCTCTTTTGAAATAACACAGTCTAAACAGCTTATAAAATAAACAGTAAAACAATTTACTTTAAAAAAAAACATGAAATCAAAATCAAAAAGTTTTGAGCCTTTTTAGTCCAGGTCAGTTATCTGACATTAGAGAACATGCAACTAGTCAGTCATGTTCGACGTTACATCTACTGACGTTAGGGGTCTCACTCGGGTACATATTGATTGCATGGTTTGGCTAGCTTTAGCTAACACTTGAACAAACACAGTTGTCTGTAAAGTAATAGCCTAATTGTCCATCCTGCCACTAACCATTAATTGAATGAAAAACACTTATTTTCGTTAAAATAACACATTTTCGAATGCTTACCTTGTCTAAAAGCGATTTCCTTGGGCCACGGACCGTCTTCACACTCGAAGCGATAATGGCGGATGGCAAAACGCCGGCTGGCGCGAACAAGGAGTTAGTTGATGTGACGTCATGTGGTCACATGACATGAAAACTTCTGGTTTAAAGTAAAAATACTACTCAAGTCAAATTGTTGCTTTTAATTTGTTCTAGGGGGTTCGTGATTTGCTTTAAGGCAAACTGAACAAAACAGGTTTAAACCAGAAACCATGATTTTCACTTAGTCCAATGTAAAAATGCACTTTAAATGAACAACACAGTAGTTTCACTTTTTTCAGTGTGGCTGCCAAGGCTTACAGCGCTGCGGGCCAGGCCATCTCCGCTCTGTACACCATGGCCATCCTGCAGGTTCACCAGGCCAAGGCACTGAAAAAGCTGCACAAGAGTAGTCCTGAATCTGGGTTGATGCAGGAACTGCGTACGGCAACCGACTTTGCTCTTCAAGCGACGAAGGTCACGGCGCGGTCCCTTGGTTAGGTGACGTCTACTATGGTGGTCCAGGAGCGCCATCTCTGGCTGAACCTTGCGCAGATGCGTGACGCCGACAAAGTTCGCTTTCTCGACGCCCCCGTCTCCCAGGCCGGCCTCATTGACGACACTGTCGAGGACTTTGCCCAGCAGTTCTCGCAGTCCAGAAACAGACGGAAGCCATCAAGCACATCTTGCCCAGGCGTGATTCTTCGAACACCAAGCTGCCGGGAGCCAGGTCTTCATCTGCCCATTGCTGAGGACGCCCCCCTGCAGCCACAACACCTGCTCCGCCCCAGGAAACACTGAAGGAGGTAACCCCTCAACAGGGGCGTTGAGCTAGTCGCAGGAAGGGGGCACAGCAGGACCGGGAGGATCAGGTAATCTCTACTTCGGGACGCTACGCTTCCCGGGTTGAGCCACCTTTTTTCCCACAGCTGCCCCGCCGCTTCAGCATTGGCTGCATGGCTGGATCCCGAGATGGGCATGGCGCCATGGCACTCTTCGTGTTGGTGTTACCCCGGGTTGTCGCCGCCTCTTCAGTCTTTGGTCAGACCCTGTGTTTCTACGGGCAGGAGTGCCCTTATAACAGGTGTCGAGGCATGTTGTCATCACCACACATGCCTCCAAGACGAGCTGGGGCACCGTATGCAACGGGCATGCAGCCTCGGGCTCCTGGACAGGACCTTGACTGCAGTGGCACACCAATTTCCTCGAGTTGCTAGCAGTGCTGCTTGCTCTTCGCTGATTTCGACCATTGCTGCAGGGCAAGCATGTACTTGTCCGGACGGACAACACAGTGACAGTGGCGTATATCAACCAACAGGGCGGTGTGCGCTCCCGTCGCATGTCGCAACTCGCCCGCCATCTCCTCCCCTGGAGTCAGACGCAGCTCAAATCGCTGCGTGCCATTCATGCTCCAGGAGAGCTCAATCGTGCAGCCGTGCGAGACACGCTCTCACGGCAGCTTACCCTCCCCGGGGAATGGAGACTCCATCCTCTGGTGGTTCAGCTCATTTGGAGTCGATTCGGGGAAACCCAGGTGGACCTGTTCGCTTGCCGAGAGTGCTCCCACTGCCGGCTGTTTTATTCCCTGACTGAGGCCCCCCTCGGCACGGATGCGCTGGCACACAGCTGGCCCGGGGTTTACGCAAGTACGCCTTCCCCCCAGTGAGCCCTCTTGCACAGACCCTGTGCAAGATCAGGGAGGACGAGGAGCAGGTCCTGTTGGTTCCACCCGGACCTGGTTTGACGACTTCATGCTTCTCGCAACAGCCCCTCCCTGGAGGATTCCCCTGAGGAAGGATCTTCTTTCTCAGGGGATGGGCACGATCTGGCACCTGCGACCTGATCTATGGAACCTGCACATCTGGCTTCTGGACGGGATGCGGTAGACCTCTCTGGCCTTTCTCAGGCCGTGATAGATACTATTACTCAAGCTAGAGCCCCCTCTACGAGGCAGGCCTATGCTTTGAAGTGGGGTCTATTCGTTGAGTGGTGTTCCTCCCGCCGAGAGGACCCTCAGAGATGCTCGGTTGGTGTGGTGCTTTCCTTCCTGCAGGAAAAGCTGGAGCGGAGACTGTCCCCCTCCACTTTGAAGGTGTATGTCGCTGCCATTGCGGCTCAACACGATGCAGTGGACGGTTCCTGAGAGGTAGGAGGAGACTAAATCCTCCTAGGTCACACCTTATCCCCTCTTGGGATCTGTCCGTGGTTCTCTTGGGATTATGGAGGGACCCCTTTGAGCCGCTTAATTCAGTTGAGCTAAAACATCTGTCTCTCAAGATTTCACTCCTGATCGTGCTCACTTCCATCAAGAGGGTGAGGGACCTGCAGGCATTTTCTGTCAACGAATTGTGCCTTGAGTTTGGTCCGGCTGATTCTCATGTTACCTTGAGGCCCCGGCCTGGTTATGTGCCCAAGGTTCCCACCACTCCCTTTCGAGACCAGGTGGTGAGCCTGCAAGCGCTGCCCTCGGAGGAGGCAGACCCGGCCCTTGCGTTGCTGTGTCCCGTCCGCACCTTGCGCATTTACGTGGAACACACCCGGAGCTTCAGATGCTCCAAGCAACTCTTTGTCTGCTTTGGAGGCCAGCAAAAGGGGATGGCGGCCTCCAAACAGAGGTTGGCTCATTGGTTGGTGGATGCCATCACCTTGGCGTACCAGTTCTAAGGTGAGCCGTGCCCCCTGGGAGTGAGGGGTCATTCCACTTGGAGTGTTGCCTCGTCTTGGGCGGGGGCACACGGCGCCTCTCTTGCAGACATCTGTAGAGCTGCGGGCTGGGTGACACTTAACACCTTTGCAAGGTTCTATAATCTTCGGGTGGAGCCCGTGTCCTC